GTTCTGTAGCTGAGAATCAGGATCAATATACTATTTCTACCAAACTGATTCTATAATATTCCTATTTAATGCAGCTTCTGTAAAGATTACCTTTCAGTCTTTTTAATGCTAAACGAAACCATTCACTACTTGGGTATTTTCACTGTACAGTGGTCTACATAGCAGAGTATATAGATTAAACTATTCCACTTGTTTCCTTCTGTTTAACATAGAGCTCTGAAGTATCTTTACTTTCTCATTTTTATGGCACCTAGTGCCTGAATGGAAAAGTGATTAAAAAAAGAGCAAAGAAAAACAAAACAAACAAAAAAACCAAACCCAAACACTAGGAAGTCACTGGATGACATTTAAATGATCAATTAATTAACCAGAAACAAAAATTTTTATCAAGAAGTCCTTTATCATGAGTGAAACTTCACTCATTTCTACCTATTCGAGCACAGAAACAGTAGCAAGGAGGAATGAAGAAGCAGGATTTGGCACTAGGCCTGCTTCAATTACAGGAATTTCCAAGTATTGCAAATAAATCCACAAACGTAACCTTTACATAGACAGTCTTCACTGGCCACACCAGTTGCCACCCTTCTATTTGCTGGTGGTGGAAGTTGCCCGCACCATTTTGTACTGAAAACAGTAGTACTTTCTCAATAGTACAGCCCCACCTTCCTGAAGCGTTATGCCAAGAAAGTAATTAATAGTTTTGATAGTCTGTGCTAATTGTTTAAGATGCAGCTAAACAAGCAGAAAGCATGACTGGTAAAGAATTAGAAAGCAGAGAACAGAGTTATGGAGTAGAAATATGATGCAAACATCCCGAGAATGAGCTTGGAGATCCCATGTGTCCATCAAAGGTCACGTTCCAGCACTGAGGTAAGGAAACAATTCACTTTTTGGCACTTCACAGTGAAAGAAGCGAGGGTAATTATAACCTCAAGAATCGCAGAATACTCTGAGCTGGAAGGGACGCACATGGATCTTTGAGTCCAACTCTTAAATGAATGGCCTGTATGGAGACTGAATCGTGGCATTATTAGCACCATGCTCTAACCAGTTGAGCTGGTTGTGAATCATACTTGAACGAAAAAGTGGGGACTTCTTACCTCCTCAGAGTCTTTGCACCTTACCAGTGCAATAAGACCCTTATATATCTCCCCTTGTAACACCAAATTCTAGTAGCTAAACCGAGGCTCACAAAGCGGCCTGTGAAATGCGGAGGACGACGGCCCGACATCGCATTTCGCCCGCGCAGAGACTCGGGCCGTCCAGCCAAGGGTGTTTTAGGGCTAGCTCCGACAGAGGAGGGGTCCCCCCGGAGCGGGGGAAAGCCAGAGGAGGTGGGGAAGACGCCCGGCGCGGCCCGTGGCGGCAGGCGGGGCTGGCGGGGCTGGCGGGGCTGGCGGGGGGAACGGGAGAGCCGGAGCTGTCGCTGTCCGTGGTGCTGCCGCCCCCCGCTCTCCCCTCGAACGCTCCGCCCTGCCCCGGGGCTGGGGCCCCGCCGGGCCGCGGCCGCAGAGGTTTTGCCGCGCCGGGGAAAAGCTTGCCCGGCCGCTGTGGCCCGTGTTTGCACGAAGTCGTGATCGCCTTCACTTTTCTTATCAACAAGAAGAAGAAAACAAAAAAAAAGAAGACAAGAAAAGGGAGGCGAGGGGAGGGGAAAGGAAAGAAGGGAAAAGGGAGAGAGGAGAGGGGAGAGACGAGAGGGGAGAGGGGAGGCGGGAGGCAAGGCAAGGCAAGGCAAGGCAAGGCAAGGCAAGGCAAGGCAAGGCAAGGCAAGAAAAGAAAAGAAAAGAAAAGAAAAGAAAAGAAAAGAAAAGAAAAGAAAAGAAAAGAAAAGAAAAGAAAAGAAAAGAAAAGAAAAGAAAAGAAAAGAAAAGAAAAGAAAAGAAAAGAAAAGAAGAGAAGAGAAGAGAAGAGAAGAGAAGAGAAGAGAAGAGAAGAGAAGAGAAGAGAAGAGAAGAGAAGAGAAAAGAAAAGAAGAGAAGAGAAGAGAAGAGAAGAGAAGAGAA